TCTTCACCCTGGGGTACGCGAAGGCACAGAGTTGAAGGGAAATTATATCTGGTTGTATGTGAACAAGAAAGGTTGAATACCGCTGGTCTAGACCACAGTTTTATCAGTGTCAATAAATTATTAAATAACATTGGCCACGTCAGTCTCATTAGGGTTTACTATATTTCCGAAACGATGGGATGGTATTGATTGGGTTGATCTGGCTCAGGATAGGGACCAGTGGAGGGCTCTTGTGAACACGGTAATGAACCTTCGGGTTCCATAAAATTCTGGGAAATTCTTGAATAGCTGTATAATTGGCGGCTCCTCCACAATGCCTTAGCACCATGAGCAAGTAAAGTAAGTACAGGGCATTTCAGTCAGTTTATAATCATGTGGCGTTATTACGTGTAATTTTCGAGTTAAATTCGATTAACACCACCACTGAATGACGTAANTTTTCCATAATTTTTGATCGATTACTTCTTCCTGTTTCTGCTTTGGCGGGCTGAAAGTGAAATAGGCGGGCGGAAGTGATTTTATATTATTAATTTTTACAGAGTACCTGCAACTAGTTATAAATATTTTGATTTTTATTATATTTTCTAATTTATATAAAGCATTTGACAAGATTAATTATATTACATAAATTCATTAAGACAAAATCCCAAAATCGATACATATTTCTTTATCAGTTTTGATCGATTCTTTCCCACTTCTCTTTCCTGCGATGGATCCGGTGCAACAGCAGCTAAGAATATCAGTGCGGAAAATCTTAAATATTTTTTTTGCATCGTGCCGTTTTTAATCCTAAACTATAGTCAGATTAAGAGCCAAAAACACACAAAGTTGTTGTAAAATGTGCATTGTAGCAGGAAGGGAAAAGTTACTGCGCTACAAGAAGAAGCCGACTAGCAGGTATGTTTGTTGCCGTTTACATGTTGCAAAATCCAGTACGTTAACTGCGTAGTTGCTTGTCTTTCACATAGGCGTATTAATATTAATTAATATAACTTACTGCCTTTAATGTTTGTTCACTGACCAACTTCTTCCACCATTTCCTGGATTTTGCTTGGTATTTTTATGTGGCATTGTTCCAGAGGTGTCATTGATTTTTTTTTTAATTTCGCCTGATTTTTTTTTTTTTCATGATTCTGTTCCGTTTGCCATCTTGGAATTATCAAGCTTACGTTTTCGCCATTTTGAGTTACTAAGCTTACGTTATAAGAATTTTCATACATTTCTGTTCTTTATGCCTGTTTTTGGAGGTTAGAACATTACATTTTATTACTGATTTAATACATACAGCTATAATTACTATTTATTTAACATTTATTAGTTATAATTATATGTTATGATGAGAGATGCATGAAACGGCGTTGGTCATCTTGGTCAGAAAAGGTATTCACTATGCATCATGTTTCCAAAATGCTGCATATTAATGCTTATGTGCAGACGATGTTATTTAATAATTTTTGTCTTACAGATATTGCTAGGGAAATATTTCGCTATAATTATTTTTATATGCTCTACTAGGCAACCAGCATACTTAAATGGCCATACTTCTGACTACTTTTTAAAACAGCTGATTATTTTTTAATCCACATCCATTGTCGTTTAGAAACGAAACTGTCTTATGATTGCAAAACTACTATACTCA